GACAATAATAATAATAATAATAAGTTATCCAAATTAATCCGTTACATTAAAAGTGTGACATCAGATACATTGAAATAAAATAATTTAAAAAGAAACAAACAAAAGAAATCGGAAAACTTTATTGTGAACAGATTTACTAGTAGAATAGTAAGTTGATAGCCTTTTTATTATCTCTCCCTCTCCAATTACAATTTCATCGACATTTTGTTTTTGTTTGTTTTTTTTCGTTAGATGATAGTAAAGTAAAAACTGGTTTCTTCAAAAATGATCATTCTAATAGAAAATTGATGCTTAAATGTTTTTCCATGTTATTTGTATTATCAGAAGGTGGGGAGGGGGGTTGTGGAGATTTTAGTAATTTTTAATAGTTCACATCATGAGTCAATTGAAGCTAAACCACCATGGAAAACCTGGAAGTTTCACTGGACGGCCGTTTCGTTCTAGTATAGCACTCATCAGCAATGCGCATCCACGATCCCACAACAAAGAGATTTGAACACATGACCTATCAGTCTCGCGCGCGAGCGCTTGACCATTAGACCACTGAGCCAGCTGTCATCCAACAGTGTTAATCTGTAACTTCAACCAATACTTGTGGATGCACACTACTGAGGAGTGCTATACTAGGACTAAACGACTGTCAAGTGCTTCCAGCTTTTCCATGGTGGTCTAGCTTCAATGAACTCATGATTTCAACAATTGAAACATCTTTTTGTTTTGTTTTTTCTAATTATTTGAGCTTCAATTCAGAAATTACTAAGAAAATTATTTTTGGTACATTAAAGCAATGAATTTTGAATAAACATGAAAGAAAACTAACTTATCATTCTATATTTATCTTAAATATTTTTAAGAAACTAATATGTAGGCGAGAAAGATAATGATTGATTGTTTAATTAGTCATACTAGTAGATGATAGTTTGACAGATACTAGATGAGTTATATGCTCTCCTACCATTATTATTATTATTATTATTATTATTATTATTATTATTATTTTGATTGTTGTCAGTTTATGGTGTAGAAATGTACTTACGTTCTAGTCAGGTTAGTCATGTGTTCTTGATCTGAATTGTGTTGATATCCTGTAGAATAGATACTAAGAGGAAATCTAATGTAGATATTCATTTAAGCGTCCTATTTGTGTAGACGAAGAAATTTAAGTTCTATAATAGGAACCTTAATGTATCCTTAAATAAAATTTACAGTTAGATTAACTTGTTTAAAAAAAACGTTAGTTATAAAGTTGAAGAATTCAAATTTACTATATTCGTTATCTCAATCAGTGATGTTACTAAGGTGATAGATGTATAAAAGTGATGACTAAAGATGGGCATTATTTTATTGTTAAAATACATTGATCTTTCGGTGAGATTATTAGTTTATGGACGACATTTGAGCGATGCTAAAGTGACCTTGAGAGTGTTCACCTAGTAACTAGGACAAAATGAGGATTATAAACCAGTGTGAGGAATTGGAATTATGATTTCCAGTTGGTGATTAAAGTTAATAATTAGTTCTAGAACTTTCGTCACAAACTGACATCAGTTTAAATGCCAAAACGCTATTTAACGGAATGGATGAATGAATTTGCGCCAAAATTCAAGACCTGTTATCTTTTATCTGATTGGTTCGTTCATAAATTATAGTCTCGCTAAAAATATATAAACATTTAAATTATGGTTAGCTGTACCAACTTAATATGACTCTAAACAAGAAAAGATCTAGAACATCAACATTCCAACAAAGTCTTCTATAAGCATTAAATAAGAAATTTATTTGTTTCCTATTATAATTAAACATTAAATTAAAATGAATTATTTCTATTACTAACATAGATTATGAATACAGTAGTCTTGAGTGCTGTTAGATGTATGAGGGAGGTTATCACTTCCCGGTTGCCCACATCGTGGACGAGTTCTTCTGGAGGTATCTGAAAAGGAAATTGGATTAGAGGTGATCTTAGTGACCCGAGAGTGTGACTGCTGTGCCCAAGAGACAACTGCTTGAGGTCGGTCACACGCGACGTTTCTGTGAGAACTTTTCGTGTTATCTCCGTAATTGTTGAGACTTTACTGCCGGAGAAGGATATCCATGGGATAAGGCGAAATGTGTATTCTTAGGGTCGACCATTTCTAACCCCACTCCTCCTTGTGGGAAGGCAGCATCTCTGTTACGCTGGTTGTCTTGAGGAAACACCTTACTGCCATCACACCTCTGTACAGTCAGCAGTAACACTTGCCTTCGAACCTTGGATTTGCTGCTTTTAGTCTTACCGTTATTCAACTGACCTATCTGGCATGGTAGGACCTTGGGGAACGACTATTCCAACCAGTATAGCTCGATTGGTCCATCACGATAGGCAAGCCGGACCACCACGTTATTGTTAAATTGTTTATTATTATTGAATGCATGCCTATTTTGTATGATTGTTATCGTTTAAATATACTACATTAACTAAATTAGATAATATCATTTAATTTTGTTCGTAAGGTTTTGTTCTCTAAGCTGGATGATTTGGTCATGAAACTTTTATCTACTTGTAAGTTTATTCTGATGATATCGTTCAAAAGAATGATGAAATCTCTACAACCAAACCATTTAGCTCAGAGAATAAAACTCTACCAAAAAAGAATATGAAATATCCACACATATAAAGAAAACTAGATAATTACAAAGAACAGAAAAAAAACTCAATATAAAGAAAGACAGAGTTTATTTTTTTTTTAAAAAATTATGTTACCTTGGACACTTCTTATTTATACGCCATTTATTCACTAAATAATGGTTACCATCATTGTTAGTCATTAGTCATTATATGTTAAGTTTATCATAATTAGTTAAAGAATATGTTGTTTTAAAAGTGTTATGTATGTATAAATTAAACTTTACAAGTTGAAGATGGATAGCGGCTATCAGTGGAATCCAGGATGTGCATTTCGTCCTGTTTGAATTCCACTACTAGCCATATTCCATCTTTGCTTATTAAAAACCATTGATTACTTTAATTCAGTTGTATGTGTTTCATGCATCATATTGTTGATGTTGAAGATCATCAGTGATCAGTCTCCTTCGAGATACTTGCATCTTGAGAAGATTGTGTTGATATTGTCATTGAGTCATAAGGATTTGTAGTTAAAAATGACAGTAATTTGTAGTGAACTCCAGGACACATTTTGATAACTAGATTCAGTAACTAATTAGATAACGCATTGACTAGCTGAAACGCAAAGCTCTGGCTGTTATTTATGATGTAAATATCATCACTGGAATGTAGGCACATCGTCAGCTGGATGTACCTACATCAGTGTTGATGTTCACTTTTAGATGTGAACTCAGTACCATTCGCTTCAAACATCACCGAGTTAAGCACTTATAAATCTTGTGATCTAAGGCAATATCAAGACAGTCCGTACAAGATACACATATACTAATAAGAGACTGATCAATTACAATCTTAAATACCATTTGGAAGATACAAGTAAAACAATATTAAGAAGTGTATTGAAACTTTGTAAAACTTTTGTAAAACATAATGTAAAATTTCAGTTATCGTACTCTTTGAATAGTATGTACAATTTCTTTTGAAAATTATTCATTTTTATTCTATAAAACAAAATTGGGTCATGTTTTTTTCTTTGTTAAAGGACATTGAATAGTTATTTCAATTAAGTAATAGCTTACTTATAATCGTTTTATTAGTAATCGAGTACTTATAAAATGTCTATGATTCCAACAGTTCAGATCGTAAGTCAATTGAAGCAAGACCACCATGGAAAACCTTGAAGCACTGGATGGCCGTTTCGTCCTAGTATGGCACTCCTCAGCAGTTCGCCTCCACAATCCCTCCTTGCGGAATTCCATTCTAGTACCTATCAGTCTCGTACCAGGCACTTAACCAACTAGACCGGTGATCTGGCCGGCATCCAACGGTGTTAATGTCTAACTTCAACTAATCTATGATCCATTTTATTATTCACATTATTGATCAGTTCGTTTTATTCAGTTCAAAATGTACATAGATACAATAGTTACATAATAATAAGAAAAAAATAATGAGGAGATCAAGTTTGAAAGACTACTAATTCTATATAGCAACAAATAGTATAAAATTCTATTGAAGTATAAATAATCAATGAAAAGGTTTTTAATTGCCGGTAAATGAAATCATTAAAATGTTTGATAATAATATTTATATGTATGTTATACTATTAACTACAGTTGGTTGTTTGGAGACAAAGATCGAATTGTTAACAATTATCCGTTGGATTCACTTGGTATTGTTTGTTTGAATCTTTCTATTGATTCGTTTAGGACTGTAATTGATTAGTCTCTTATTGACATATGTGCGTACTGTGTATATTTTTTCGGTATTGACTTAATTCATAAGCATTTTAAACACAACATGCACATATATGCTAATAAGAAATTGATCAATTACAATCCTAAACACCAGTTGTAAGATTCATGTAAACAATGCCAAGTGAATTTAAACTTCACCCTATTGCACAAACAAGTGGCTATCAGGACTCAGTAGTTAAGTGGATAACGTGATAGTGTTTGAAACGAACGGTACTGAGTTCGTCTCTCAGAGTGAACATCAACTGAATTGAAGCTTGATCACCATGGAAAATCTAGAAGCACTGGTCGTACATGAGCAGTACTGAGGACGACACAGACGTCCAGTGCTTCCAGGTTTTGCATTGTAGTCTATCTTCAATTGACTCATCATCTCAACTATTGAAATTTATATTTATTGTTACGAAATGTATGTCTTGGATTCCACTAAATAAATATATTTTGTATCTTACTGATACTAGTGTCTTAGGGATATTAGATACATTTATTATGCTATACTCAATAGAAATTTTATATTCTGAATACTGTTAGAAAAATTAAGCCCAACCAAATAACTCAGTATAAGTGTTGTGATTTGTAGCTTTTTTGTTCTTTATGTAAATATTCCGATTGAGGCTTGTTTTATTTCAATCATACAATAGGTTGAAGGACAACCAAATGCTTATGCAGATGCATTAGACTATTTAAATATGATATTTACTGGTGTATTTACTGTGGAGTTTGTGCTCAAATTAACAGCTTTTGGTTTCAAGGTTAGTCATAATAAAAGTTTGTATATTTTTTTTCTATCTCCTTAACTAAATACTGAATCCTACCATCACAACTACAGAATGACTAATTTTAATGGGTTCATTTTCTTTTTAATTGGATACTATAGTATCGTTTTGTTTACATTAATTCATTATTATGTATAACATTGATTTGTATAATTGTACGATTCACGAAATACATTATGAATATAAATGATTGATATAATCATGTATTCATAGAAATTCTAATCACCTATTTTGCCGTTAATAACAATTTCATTCTTCTAAACATGATACGAATGTCCGGAACTTTAACCGGATTGATGGATGTGGAGGATTCATCTAAAGGAATTGGAAAACCTTGATTTCAAACCAATGGTGCAAATGGGCTCCAGGTTCCTGAGGGTACAAACAGCGTATGAACCCGCTGTTCATGACTGACTACCAAGGGGCTTCATGTCGTAACGTTGCTCCAATATTTTTTAGATTAAACAAATATATATTGAAATGAGTATATCTTATTGTAGTGATTCAACTAGAACATAAGACGACCATTAATCCTTGATTTCCAAGTAATTACAGGATACTAAGCTATTGAGGGTTTTTTTCAGTGGGCTGTTAATCAGTTGTTTTGAAATTGGCATAAAAATGTAGTTATATTTTCATTTATTGATTTTTCAATACTCCTATAAGTGGAAGTAATAAGCGCACTATTTTGTTAGAATAAATTATAAATCTGTAGTATGATTTTCATTTCAAATCAAGTAATCTGATTGTATCTATTCTTCTTGTTCTTGTTCTTGTTCTTCTTCTTCTTCTTCATCATCGTCATCTTTTCATTTGTTCTAAATATTCTGTTCTATAATTAGTACTTGATATAATAAGCTTGTTCAGTTTTCCTTCTGTTATAAAACAATTACTAACCCTAGTTTATGTTCTTTATAGTTTCAGATAATTAGAAATAAATGTTATTGATTGAGATCATGAATCGATCGATTTAAGATCACTACTGAAAGCATGGAAACATTGGATGACCGTTTTATCCTAGTATGGGACTCCTGAGAAGTACGCATCCACGATCTCGCATGCGAGATTTTAAGCTAGGGCATTCAGTGTCCAGCATGAATTCTTAAAATTTAGATCACTGAGCTGACATCCAGTGTAGCTAATTTGTATTAGGTAGAGACAGGTATCTATCTCAAACAATGGAAGATGGTCGCACAGTATCGTGGATTGATTGAAGTTATACGTTAACACAGTTGGATGCCGGCTCAGTGGTCTAGAAGTTAAGCGTTCGCGCGTGCGAGACTGAAGGTCTTGGGTTCGAATCCCGCAAGCGTTATCATGGATTCGCACTTCTCAGAAGTCCCATGCTAGAACAAAATGGTCGTCCTGTGTTTACACGTTTGCAACGGTGGTTGAACATCGATCGATTAATGATCTCAATCAAAAACTTAACAATCTCCACAACCACACAATGATATATATATATATTAGTTTTTCACTAGATAAACTATGCTATACAACATATCAAAATTAACCTAATCTTACTATAGTGAAGGAGAACTTAGTTAGGAGAAGACCATTTTACTTATCAATGAACAATCATTCAGGGTTTTAGTAGAAATCGAAAATCATACATCAAATACATTATCCCCACATCAACTTGAAATTGTCTCTTACAAGCTTCATTAGTCCTTCATTGCTGTTGTTATCTTGATTACTTAGAGTTTCCTTTCTCTCTCTTCTTATCAACCTTTCATTCGCAGACATTCCATTTCTAACTGATGGTTTATATTAATTATACCTTCAAATATAGGTAGCATACATCACACTACTAAATCATTTATTTATTTCTTAAATTATCCTGTTAATTATGTAAAGCTGTCATGGATACGGACATTTTACCATGTTATTAAACACCAATAAACCAAAATAAAATAAATAATCTGCTTTCCGTTTTGTTTTGGTCACCTTCTTATCTAGAATTATTTTAGTGATCCATGGAATGTATTCGATTTCATCATTGTTGTTGGTAGTTTCGTTGATATTAATATGTCACATCTTGCTGTAAGTTTTTTTGTTTTGATCTTGTAATGTTTAATAATAATCAACTATTAAAATTACTATAATATCTACAAAAACACCCCTTCTGATATTAATCAATATATGCTCACTAGTGACTCGTTCCAAGAGGTATTTCCTAGAGTTCTAGTGAGAAGCAGTGTCCAATGGCGTTCAACCGGGTCTTTTATGAAATGGCAACATACTGAAGACAATGGTGGTTATGTCGCTCACTTTCGTGGATTAGTTGAAGTTAGACATTAACACCGTTGGATGCTGGCCGGCTCACTGGTCTCGCGTGAGAATGATAGGTCCTAGGTTCGAATCTCTCGGAGGGCGGGACAGTGGATGCGCAGTGCTGAGGAGCCCTTCAATAGGACGAAACGGCCGTCCAGTGATTCCAACTTTTCCATGGTTGTCTAGCTTCAATGGACTTATGATTTCAACTATTGATATATTAGATATCTTGTTTGTGTATTTTATATCGAGTTAAAACGGCTAGAAAGACTATTTTTCAAGTTGTAATAAACATTATAGTATAACAATGTAGAATTAAAATACTTTATCATGAAGTCTTCCTTCTACTGATAGAGAAATATGAGTCACTTATTAGTTAATGATGTATTACACTGAATAAACTCTTATGGTGATGTAATTGAGTCAAATTGATAATGTGACTGAATGATTTAAGATAGAACTAACTAATTCTACTGTCGGTAACATTATGAGTGATTCTAAGTATTCAAGATGCAGATTGTTAAATTTAAATCTTATACATATCCACTTTTCCTGAAAATTCTCTTCACCAAATATTCTATTCTGCTGCTAACAGATTTGTTGTTTTCCACAATAAACCATCACATTTCTTAAGTCACTTAACAATAACTTAACCGCAACCGGTAATATGTTTCATACTTGTTGGGGACGATAGATCCCCAAAAACTCATAATTTGTAATTTATCTTGTGGAGCTTGTATGCACATGTATACGTGGGCATTTCTTACCGCCCATGCACATAGTTGATTGACGAAATTATCGATTAAATGTTTAAATATTTCAATGGCAGTCAATCGACGAACTATCGATTAAATGTTTCAAAGCTCCATGACAATATCGATGTATATATAATGACATATATACGTTTTGAAATTGTCTTGTAAAAAAGTTTGCTGGTTTTCTGGTTGTTACAGAATATACTTTCATTCTAAGCTTGGTCTTCTCACTCTAGATAGCGGGGCTGGGACGCGTCAATAGATAGCTTTCTGGACCTTAATCACCGAATCCCGTTCTCGTTCGCAAACTACCTGAACCCGTGATCTCTCTCTCTTTCGAAACCTAACAATACTATAAAATCAGGTGATATGGATTGTAATGTTATCTGAAATATTGATTTTGTGAAGATTAAAGATAAGACTGGTCAATGTTTCCAAACTAGGACAAAGCACAATTTTGAGTTAATTAGACTAGTTTCATTAGACATATGTAACCAAGATGAACATAAAATATTTAAACGAATAAAAAGTTCAATTATATTTTAATTTTACCTCCTATTTCAGCTACTACAATTCTCATTTTGTCATATTGTTGTCTTGGTAAACATTATAATCTATATGGTTTACATCTATTTCTTGTTTGTTTATTTTTTTTTTTTAAAAGGCAAATTCAAAATTTATCAGTATAAACTTTTTTCGTTTATTCCGTGTAATGCGATTGGTTAAATTATTAAATCGTGGTGAAGGTATACGAACACTTCTATGGACATTTGTTAAATCATTTCAGGTATATATTGTGTGTTTTTTTTAAAAAAAAATAATAATTATTATTTTACATTTTTTAAATAGTTCAGATCATGAGTCAATAGAAACTAGACCATCATGCGAAACCTGGAATCACTGAACGGTTGTTTCGTCTTAATGTAGGACTCCTCAGAAATAAGCATCCAGGATCCGGTCTTGCAAGATTCGAACCTAGGAATTATCAGTATCATACGCGAACGCTTAATCACTAGACCACTGAGCTGGCATCCCATGGTGTTAATCTCTAATTTCAACTAACCCATGAAATCGAGCGATATATTCACCATTCTCTTTAGTGAGTTAGTATCTCACAACAAACCCGAACTCCACTGGTCACTGCTTATCACTAGAATTCCAGAAAATAGTTCTTGGAAACTGTCATTAGTAAGCATATGTCGATTAATATCAGAAGCGGTATTTTGTGGATATTACAATGATTTCAATAGTTGGGATCATGAGTCAATTGAAGCTAGACCACCATGGAAAACCTGGAAGCACTTAACGGCCGTTTCGTCCTACTGTGGAACTTCTGAACAGTGCACATCCATGATTATTTTGTTGACAATTTCGGCTTTAAATAAGCTATTTTCTGATGAAAAAGGCCCGACACTTTAGTTGCCCTGTATCTGATTCCAGTTAGATCGTATTGCTTATTAACATCGATATATATGCTAGCAACCGTCGTATATTTCTATCGACTTAATTCGTGTTAGAGAATAACGGAATGAAACAAGCCAAATACGAGGATACATTTTCAATCTGTACGTTTTGTGCACTGTTTGATCAGGACACATTCAGAGAAACGAAGTGAAGAAAAATAAATGCGACGAAACTAAATGAAGTAACGCTCAACGAAGAGGGAAAATGAGCCAACTCGTTTGCTATTAAAAGTGACTCAATAGTTATATTCAGACGAAAAGAAGTTGCAGATACATAAGCAAGCAATTAATATACAAACGATCATGTAAAAGTCAGTCAGGGTTAATAAAAGAATAAGTGACAAGGTCAAAATGTGACTTGAGAAGAATGAATAATTTGGTCTTTGCAGAAGCTAGAATAACCTATGTAGGCTTGAAAAGGTACCAACTATTACAATACTTTGCTGACTGACTATGGAACTCAAGTCTAACATGATGTCGGTTTTTTCTCAACCAGACGTTTAGGGTGATGCATTATATTATAAGTAAATCCAGGACGGGCATTTCGTTCTGTTTGAATTTCACTACTAGCCATATTCCATCTTTGCTTATTAAGAACCATTGATTACTTTAATTAACTTGTGAGTGTTTAAAGCATCATATTGTTGATGTTGAAGATCGTCAGTGATCAGTCTCCATCGAGATACTTGCATTTTGAGAAGATTGTCTTGATATTGTCATTGAGTCACAACGATTTTTCGGTAAAGTTGACAGTAATTAGCAGTGAACTGTGGATCACAATTTGACAACTAAACACAGTAACTAAGTGAATAACGCACTGACTAGCTGAAACAAAAAAAACTCTAGCTGTTATGTTGGTCTAAATATCATCACTGGAATGCAGGCAAATCCATCTGACGAATTCCAGGTAGAATAAAATACTAGTCCTAGATTTCACTATCAGTCACCACCGAATTTGTGTTTAAAAGCATTAGTTACTTGGTGATTCCTTTCTTGAAATTTCATTTGTTCAATTATACCTATTTGTTTGAATACTTCGTCCAATAGATTATAGTTTGAATTATCAAATATATATTTTGATCTCCATGGATAATCCTCTAACGGTAACTGATTATTACTATAGAGAGGTTTATTGATTTTATATTTATTGCTGGCACGGCCGAGAGTGGGGAGAGTCCACTCTCCCTCTCGAAATGCTCTCACATGGTCACGCGTATATTGTCTCTGTCAGGGAAGTCCTACTCACTGCATTCTCGTGGTGGGGGTGTTGTTTACGAAAATGAGAGGACGAAAAGCGAATGTCCGGCGCTTTAACCGGATCCCAAATCAATGGTGTACATGGGCTCCAGTATCCTGAAGGAACAAATGGCGTATGAACCAATCGTTGATCACCAGCTACCATGGGACTGCATCTCCTTACGATGCTACACTGCCTTGTGAACCAGACGTTCAGGTCAAAGGCTCCGGGTGTGGTCCCCTAAGAAAACCACCTGCTTCGGTTTGGGCATCCGGGCAGTATCACAGCCCTCACACATATCAAATGAGATTTGTGTGGCGCATATGTATATGGTGCCTCCTTGTACCAATATCTATGTGTTAAAATAAAAATAAAAATATCATATAAAGATGTATAAAATGTTTTAACACTCTTCTTCTATAAACTTATTTACAGGCATTACCTTATGTTGCACTACTGATCATTATGTTATTTTTTATATATGCTGTAATTGGAATGCAAATGTTTGGTAAAATTGCATTAATTAATCCAGATAGTTCAATAAATCGTAATAATAATTTTCAAACATTTCCACAATCTTTATTAGTATTATTTCGTTCTGCAACTGGTGAAGCTTGGCAAGAAATAATGTTAAGCTGTGTGAATGGTATGTTCATTGAAAATAATCTGTTGACATTATGAAACGATTTCTAATCAGAAGAGTTGAGAAATTTAATTGTGTAACTAATATGTAGTTTATAAATCATTCATGAAGTTCTTCTTTCTGTTATGATTATAAAAACGATAATTGAGGAATGTAGTCTATGGTTATAGACTTTAAATGATATGGCATGAAATCGTTTGCAGTAGCGCAGGTTCATTCACTTATTGTGTTCTTCCACATTCTAATCTTCTGAATTCTTCATGTCCCCTTTCATTTTTCTCTTTCTAAATTTATTTCACTGGATTATACTCTTTGAATAACACCTTCAAACCCTTATCTTTCCGATTACTGCCTATACTCTTACTACCTCTATCACTATGGGATGTGGATCGACAATTGTATCTATGTGCTAATGTGGTATGACAACTCGAACTGATGTACATACGAACAAAGTTCTATATTGTTACTGACTTACTGAGGAATATAGGGATTCCATTTTATTTCTAGATTACTTATAAATAATCTTCCTATCATTGAGTTATCGAGAAGTATTCGTCATTAGAAGATGCGACATTCTTCTCATAATTCTTCTATTGTATGAAAAACCTTTTATTGTTGTTATATATTGAGGGCCGCCGAGTACAGGACAGTGAATTATCGATCGAACCAAAGGCGCGTGAAACACGCAAGAAGAGCCTATAGTTCTGATTGACCCTGCTTCCCTATCTAGCCCAGCCAGTTGAGTTCAGAATACAAGTCTCAGCCTCGGAGATATGAATCATTATATTTCAAACATACTCTGTTTATATATCAACCAAACAGACCACAACGTACCATAAAATAGAAAATAACATTTGTGTAAGATTTGACCAATAGGTAAATGACACGTTGAATAAATATTGACCAGTAGGGAAACGACACGTGAAATAAATATTGACCAACGGGAAAATGACACGTCGAATAAGTATTGACCAATAGGAAAATGACATCATTTCACGTTCACAGATAGCATTAGATTTAACAGGATAATTTTTGGGATATTTTTCTGAATATCCCAACATTTGTATACTTTCAAATAGTAAATTTCAAGTTACTGTTGTCAAAAAAAAACATGATTATTCTCCACATAATAGAATCATGCCCCGTTCACCATAATCATAACATCGAAACTGATGTGATGAATTAGTAGAATAAGTTTGAAGGTGAATTTCATCATTAATTAATTTACTTAGGAATAACTTCAACTCTATAACAATCTTTACTAGTACTGTTTCAATGTATGGCATTTTTATTACTAGATCTATTTAACATGAATAACATTTCGTAGATTTCAATTTGTAGTCATGACATTTGGAAATACTTGGGTCAACAGAAAATTCAAAAAACTGGACAACATATTGGAAAAGTCACATTTCGTTGAACATTAACCTAATTTCAAAATTGAAATTATATTCTATTAATTAGTGTCTAGACTATATGATATTTCAATAGTTGAAATCATGAGTCAATTGAAGCTAGATCACCATGAACAACCTGGAAGCATAGGACGGCCGTTTCGTTCTAGTATGGGATTCCTCAGCAATTTTCATCCACGATCACATCCCGCGAGATTCAAACCTACGACCTATCAGTTTCGAGCGCGAGCGCCTAACCATTAGACCACTGAGTCAGCCGGTATCCGACGGTGTCAATGTCTAACTTCAACTAATCCACGAAATTGAGTGACTATTCCACCACTATCATCAGTGGGCTAATATCTCACAACAGATTAGGTTGAACTCCACTGGTCACGGTTTCTCACTAGAACTCAAGCAAATGTCTCTTGAAGTCTGTCCCTAGTGAGCAGATGATTATTACTGCAAGGGGTTTTGTAGAGATTTTAGGAATTTCAATAGTTGAAATCATGAGTCAATTGAAGCTAGAATTACTTGTATGATAAAGCGAGTTAAAGGTATTTAGGCAAGTGTCAAATCAGAATGAAATGAATGTTCAATTGCATCTTATTTAAAATTCTATTTCAGATAGTAACAACTGATAAAGTAATCCCTTTTTTATTACTTCTAAACATTGTGGAAAACGTTTGTTTATTTTTAAAAATTATATTTATGCACTCATTTAAATTTCAATAGTTGAGTTCATGAGACAACTATGGAATATTTGTAAGCACAAGATGACCGTTTCGTCCTATTGTAGGACTCCTCAGCAGTGCGCATCCACGATCAGGCCTCGAAGGATTCAAACCCATGACATATCGGTCTCATGCACGTACACTTCACTTTTAAACCACTGAGCCGGTCATTGTTAATGCCTAACTTCAATCAATCCATAAAATTGAATGACACATCCACCATTATCATCAATGAGTTATTATCTCACAATTGACCCGGTTATACTCCATTGCTTTTCTTATTCATTCTTTTTTATTTTAGATCATACTGTCAAATGTGATCGATATTCCGATACTGAAATGAAAGCTATACGAAATTTTTTAGATGAACAACAACATATTATTTTAATGAATACTACTACATCAACACAATATATTGTAATAAAACAAAATGATAATAATTCAACAAAAATTTCAACACCTTTTATAACATCTATAGATAATTCAATAGAATATAATCAACCTTCCATATCATTTTATAATCATGAACAAGATAATCATTCTATTTGGGATGTATTAAATAATGGATTCATAGATAATAATAATAATAATAATAATAATAATAATAATAATAATAATAATAATAATAATCAGAATACCTTATTTACTTATTCACATCCATCTACAATACTTGGATTAGATAATCCCATAATAGAAAAGGATTGGTCTTCTTCTTCTTCTTCTTCATCATCATCATCATTTCCATCAGCTGATAATATACATTCTTCAGATGATATTATTTATTCATCAGATTTTATAAATAGATATAGACAAAGTAGAGAAATAAATGATCAAAATCAAACAGTTCCTATCATTAATTTAACACAATTATCATTATCATCATCATCATCATCATTATCGTTAAAACCAATTCATAATCAATCTACTCAACATTTATCAATTGAAGAATTTGATGAAAGAACTATTAGTTTAAAGAAATTAGATGAATTAGGTTATAATGGACCACGTGCAACATGTGGATCAAATTTTGCTTATCCATATTTTATATCATTCTATATGGTTTGCTCTTTTCTTGTAAGTTTTTTTCTCTTTTTTTTTTCTTTTCTATGTAGTAATATTTAATAAAATATTACTAATGAGATTATAATTTATAGACAATCTTTCAGCGATGTTCAACTGACTTGAAGAGTGTGAAGCCATTTGTTTTATCGTTATTTAGATTGTATAATGTTGTCAAACGGTTATTCACTTTAGTGTCCTATGATCTGACTTGAAATAGATCATATGAATGAGATTGCTATCACCTATCCTCGGATATAATAATTATCGACTTAAATCGCGTTAGTTAATAATGGAATTAAATAAGTCAAATAACGAGAATGAACTATTGAATACATATATATTTTGTATGTGATGCTAATGGAATAGAACGAAGCAAAACGACGCGCAGTGGAAGTGGAGGGTAAACCAACTCCCTGTTTAACCAAATGTTAATCAATATGTATAGTTACACAAAACTTAGTTACAGACATGTGATAAATAATGGGATATGAAGTGTACACACACCTACGCGCTCATATAAAAATAGTCAAAGTTGATAAGTGAATAATTAAGAAGGTCAAAATACAACTCAAGTAAAATGAATAGATTGGGTTATCTGAAAGCTAGAATTTATTTATTTATTTATTTACTTTAACACATAAGTATAGGTACAGGGAGGCGCCAAATACATATGCGCCACACGAATCTCATTTGATTTGTGTGAGGGCTGTGATACTGCCCGGGTGCCCAAACCGAAGCAGGTGGTTTTCTTAGGGGGCCACACCCCGAGCCTTCGACCTGGACGTCTGACCCACAAGGCAGTGGAGCATCGTGAGGAGATGAAGTCCCATGGTAGCTGGTGATCAATGATTGGTTCATACGCCATTTGTTCCTTCAGGATACTGGAGCCAGCCCATGTGCACCATTGATTTGATTTGGGGTCCGGTTAAAGCGCCGGACATTCGCTTTTCGTCCTCTCATTTTCGTAAACAACACCCCCGCCACGAGAATGCAGTGAGTAGGACTTCTCTGACAGAGGCTATATACGCATGGCCATGTGAGAGCATTTCGAGAGGGAGAGCGGACTCTCCCCACTCTCGGCCGTACCAGGGCATTTGGGGGCTTAACAACATAATAACAGACACTACAAAAGTGTTCACCTAGTAACTAAAACTAAATGAGGATTATAAACTTATGTAAGGATTTAGAATTATGATTTATAGTTGATGATTAAGGTTAGGAATTACATTTAGGGTTTTCATATCAGCTATAATGCCAAAACTCTATTTAATCAAATGGATGAATGGATATCCCACCAACATCCGAGACCTACTATCTTATACCTGATTGGTTCGTTCATAAATTATAGTTTCGCTAAATATTTCACTTCAAATTGTATTTAATTGAAGAATCAATTAATTTGTAGATATAAATGATTTAAATTCTAACCTCAAAGATCCAAAGATCACTTTCAAGAAGAATACCTGAAATTATTGGTTTAACTTTAAGAAATTTACAATTTATACTATTTTGAAGTTTTATTGACTAGTTCTTCAACATTGAAAATGTATTAAATTTTGAATGAACGAAAAAGATGACATTTTAATTTTTTTAAACCCGACAGAAATATACTACACCTTGGGAGTGGGAAGCTCTAGATATGATTAAGTCAAATGTCAGTGGCCAAGATGGATAATGGCTAGCAGTGGAATCCAGTTTGGTGCACGTTTCGTTCTATTTGAGACTCGTCAGCTGGATATACCTGCATCTCAGAGTTGACGTTCACTCCGGGACTCGGACTCAATACTGTTCGCTTCAAAAATCTTCACGTTATTCACTTAGCTACTGAGTCGTGATAGCCACCTGCTTGTGCAATGGGATGAATTTAAATCCACCTGATGTTGTTTACTTGTATCTTTCCATTGTTATTCAGGACTGTGGTTGACGAGTCCCAAATAGGACGAAACGCGCGTAATTCTGGATTCCATTGCTAGTCACTATCCATCTTTACTTAAAAACTTGTTAACTTAAGGTTATATCGAGACAATCCGCATAGGATTTACATATGCCAACAAGAGACTGATCAATCGCAGTCCTAAACATCAATGGGAAGATACAAGTAAACAACATCAAGTGGATTTAAATGTCCGTAGGTTATGAAAGTTTCAAACCACTATAACATCGTATTGATAGTCATCTACTTTGTTATTCATCCTACTTACTACTTACGCCTGTTACTCCTCGTGAAGGAGCATAGGCCGCTTACCAGCATTCTCCATCCAACCCTTTCCTGGGCAATCCTTTCAAGTTCTTTTCATATTCATCCTACTCTATATGCTAATTACACTTTTTCATATACTGTTACATGTGTTCCTAATGATGATTATTATCATTATTATAATTGATTATTTTAGATTATCAATTTATTTGTTGCTGTTATAATGGATAATTTTGATTATTTAACACGAGATTGGTCAATATTAGGTCCACATCATTTAGATGAATTTATACGTTTATGGTCAGAATATGATCCAGAAGCAAAGTAAGCTATACGTGTTTATGATATATTTACTGTTATTATACAACTTGATTCACATGTCGGAGCAGTCAGTGGTTGGGCATACATAACACATGTCCCAGCCATCTTAATTCATGAAGTTTCACTACTTCACCAATTGATTAGCCATTCTTACCTGGTACCCGTTTCCTAACAACTGAGTTACTTACTCGGTGGTCCCAGGATATACGAGCAATGTGTCGGAGACATATATGGTCGAATACTAGTAACCTATGAATATCCTCTACTATTAACGGTCATGTTTCACTGTCATGAAGTAGGACGGAACGAACTGCTGCTCAGTAGACACGTCCTTTGGTTGATAGACAGATATCTCGCCTATGCTATAAATGACGCAAGTTGGCAAAAGCTAGTCGAGCTTTCTGTATCCGTGCTGAGATTTCATCCCACAACAGACCACATGGGCTGATGAGACTTCTCAGATAAGTGATGCGGTCGACATGCTCCACTACTTCACTCCTTATCATTACTTTGAGTGTCGATGTAACCTATTCCTCAAGTAACATTTTGGATTTCGAGGGGAAGAATCGCATGCCGAACATGCTTGCATTGTTGCTTATTGTGGTCATAAGACTCTTCATTTTGTCAGTGACTTCACCAAATAGAACTATGTCATCGTCATATTCTAAGTCAGCAAGTGAATCTCCCAGCAAAAGTTCAACTCCTGGAAATTTAGATAAGAAAAGTGTCATCTCTAGAAGCATGTCAACGACAAAGTTAAACAAGAATAGAGAGAGTGAACTGGCTTGACGAACACTTGAGGTAATCAATTCTGATGACAGTTCGCCATAAGCTCTCAGGTGGAGTTTCGTTCTTTAAGCTAAATGATTTAATCATGGAGCTTTTTTGTGCTTCTGAACGACAACATCATCAGGACACATTTTGGGTAGAAGTGAAATATTTGAATTTCTCTACATATAACTCACAGCTTGTCCTGTCGACCTCGATCTTGGTCGGTTATTACTAACGTTTAGTTTGTTATTATCTGAATACTGTATTTAAAAAGACTATAGTCAACCTCAATCAAATGAAAATATTACTCTTCATAGTTCAGATCTCAGAAATTTTTAAAGATATAAGTTCAGTGATATTAACCAGGTTGATCCATATTTTGATCTGGTATCTCAGAGCTGGACGTATCTGAATGATCCTAATCGCTAACTTACAAATAGAAAAAAAAATTATCCTTCGATAGTTACAAAGCTATCATTTCAATCAATAAGGGTTTTAGAACATCTGTTTCCATGGTCATTCAACGCCTAATTGAACTTGAGTATTCATGAGTCAAAACAAACTAGATAGGTGTTAGATAAACCCATGGCTTCATGAACCATATATGTTTTATGCGTTTGGTTTTACGATCTAAGGACTCTTACGAATGTTTAAATGTAATTGTATTGTTTATTTCAAAGACATTATTAGCGTTTAAAAAGTGTAGAAGCACTAGACGACCTTCTCATCCTAGTATGGAACTCCTTGGCAGTGCGCATTCACGACGCGCATGCGTAATCAACTGAAGTTAGACATTAACATCGCTGGATGTTCAGTATTCTAAAGGTTAAGCGTTCACGCACGAGACCGGTAGTGCTAGATTTGATTCCCTTTGGTGCAGGATCGTGGAATCTCACTGCTCAGGAGTCCCATACTCAGTCAGTCAATCAGTAACAACGTGGAACTTCGTACGTACGTACATCAGTTCGAGTTGTCATACCACATTAGCACAGAGATTCAGTTATCGATTCAAATCCCATAGTGGTAGAGGTACTGAAAGTATAAGTAGAGATAGGGGACATTAAGGTTTGATGGTGTTATTAAAGGAGTATAGTCCAGTGGAATAAATTGGAAAAGAAAATAAAGGACATGAAGAATTCAGAAGATTAGAGTTTGAGAGAACACAAAGAGTGAATGCACTTGCGCCATTGCATTGATATTGTTACTTTCTGACAACCAAAATCATGGATAAGCTGCTTAATAACAATGATTAAGATACTAAATGATCAACTATTTTATGTATTAAGAGAGAATAACATGAAATTGAATCAGTATGCAATGAAATCAACTTTTAAATACAGAACCAATATGTCAAAGAAGTAAGTGTTAATCACAAGTTTGAGAATAAATATGTTATAAGTTGAGATAATATATAGCTAACAATGGAATTCAGCACACGTGTTCCATTCTATTTCACTGAAGACAATATTAAGACAATTCACACAGGATGCACATATACCAATAAGAAATTAATCATTTGTAGTCTTAAACATTAACGGGAAGTTTCTCAAGCAACTAATACAAATATGAATTAAATAGGTTATACTTTCCGAGTAAGAACTCTGCTTGGAGTCCCTCCGAAGGCTATTGTCGAGCTCAAGCCCGGATAAAGGAGGAGGGTTGGATATGGGGTTAGCGACCCCATCCAGTAGAAAACTAACTCGCTAAAAAAACGCTAACCAGAAAAATTTATTCAAACTATTTAAACTCTGCCCTGGGAGTGAGAAGGTCTTCGTTTAGAAGAATTATAACGCCTCATAATGAAAGCCGAGTTCTTTCGGAAGTCACGAGGCTAATGCCCCTTCTGACAATCAGAGCAATTACTGATTTAGGTACATGGAATACTTGTAAAATGTGGGAGACTGGGAGAGTTTTCCAAATTCCGAGTAAGGCATTTTATTACCTATGGTTACTACATTCAATTTTTAAAATTGCCTACAATTTAATGTTATTTTTCTTTTTTTTCTATTACAATCTATACATTTTTATTTGATTTATTTCAGAGGAAGAATTAAACATCTTGATGTAGTTACACTCCTTCGTAAAATATCACCTCCATTAGGATTTGGTAAATTATGTCCTCATCGAACTGCATGTGTTGTAAGTATATTCAATTGAAATGTATTGAATTCTTGAATATTTGACAGTTGTCAGTAGTATTTTAATGTCATTCAATTGTTTAAATGTTTAACGTATTCATTCAAACAACTATGTTGGCTTAGACATTGGACTAGTTAGCATATAGATTATTGATGACATAAAATGTAATACTGTTTATTCATCCTTTAGAAATTTGGATTTCGTTATAATTTGTGCGTTTGTGACCCTATCAATGTATAACGTAATGATATCACCAATTAGAGAACAATGATTCATCGACTGGACTAGTGACGCATAAAACCCGAGCGGAGCAGTCTAGAGTCCTCAACGGTCGTGCTTCCTGACTAGCTCTGCCTGTTAAAGTTCATAACATCAATCTCAGCCTCTGAGATACGGATTATTTATTTCAAACATACTGGACTTATATACCAACCAAACAGAGCCCATCATACCATCAAATAGAAAATATATATAGTTGTACAAGTTTGCACACCACTCATTCTCTGTTCTTTTTCTCTTCCCTTCGATATTCTTAACTTTCTGCCGCCAGGTATTTCACAAGATCAAAACAAAACTGGCTGTGAGTGTGACAGACTGTAACTAATAGACTGGGAATATATTAAGGATGGTAAATCGTATAACATTAGTTAATAGGTCAATTGAAAGCTTATGATTTAATTAATAATTATCCAATAGGAATGTATGTAATGAAAGCGCATAAATAATTCCAAGTAATTGCCATTCATTTATTCTTCGTTCAGATGTAACACAGGTTATATGTAAATGAAAGACAATATAATAGTCGATATAGTTTTCGTTATATCCCAATGATTAGAGAATTTGTATTTCTGACGTTTTGTGACGGAATGTAACTCACTTCTTCAGAGTAAATGAATAATAGAACTTTGAAGAAGTGTTTTACATTAAGTTACGAAACACCAGAAATACAACTTTCCACTCAATGCTTAACTTATTTGAAACTATCTAGTCTAACCATGACATTGATACCTATAACAGATAAGATAGTTGGTCAATTAGTACTCTTACAAATGAAAATTCCCAGCTAAACATCTTAGTGACATGTATTAAGTATAATTCATGAGTCAATATCCTTGTTTGAACAAAATATGAACTTGTTCTTTTCTTATTTTATTTATCACCAAATAACTGAAGCTGTAAATCAACGCTTTAATCACCTAATTATCAAGTATTATTATAAAATTAAGAATCTACTTTGTTCTAATTTAATTTCCGCTACTAAGATTACTGCTACTACTACTACTACTACTACTACTACTACTATAGTGAACGAGAACACTAGTTGGGACAATGAGGTGTATTTTAATACAAAATTACAAAACATCTTAGTAAAATCTGAGAACCATACAGTAGACACTTAATCATATCAAAACTGACTGTTTCTTATGCAAAGATCAATCAATCGTCTCAGACTTCATAGTTTCTACATTTCCATATCAATTGCTTTTTATTCACGTCCATTCCACCACAATCTTTTGCTGCCAGATATTCTATTCCTTACTAGAGGTATATACTACTTATGACGATATAAATAACGCACACTACAATGTAAAGCTTAACACATAAGCTTAATAGGATAACTAAATAACATATTAATTCAAGTTTCCTTCTATTGATAAATTTTTATTTTCAGTTTATCAGTTTTACAGTAATAAATCTCATTTAATGTTGTATCTACTGTATTATGAATAATCCTATGAGTTTATGAGTAAAAAATCAGTCAGTCAGTCAGTCAGTCAGTCAGTCAAGAACATAAAACTTCATACGTACGTACATACGTAAAGTAAAGTAGCTATTCTAACTAAAACTGACATATCCATCATTTATTATAACAAATGAAAATCATGTATCCTACTCAAATTTTCATTAATGAGTACTATTTGAATAAACATCTTACAGAAAAAAAAAAAAAAAAAAAAAGAAAAGAAAACAAACAGACACTGTGAATATACTTTCCATTGGATAGATCATATCGAATTCCTTCTAAGAATTCTCTGTTCCTCTCTCCATACATTTACAATTATACTATACTTATAACAATTAACTTTTATTTAAAGAATGGTATTAAGCCTATTATTCAATTATAGTATATATTACACCTTATTTATAATATTCATCAGAACAGTTAATAACATCTTTGCAAAGGAATAAAAGTGTATATGAATTGCTGACTTAATGAAGTTCTTCTCTTTTTTTTTTGTGTGTGTGTGTATGTGTCTAATTATTCAAGTTCTTTGATTATTCATTATTGATCTAATTCAACAATAAGATTTCTTTGATAGTAACAACTTGATATTCACTAATAAGGTCAAACTATATCTTATAGTTATGTTTAATATTTAAATAAGCAATAGATTCATTAAATGACAATCCAAATAAATATATATAATCTTATAGGAAGTCACATTAAACATAACTGTAAACAATAAACAGACTTCATTATATAATATAGAATATAATGGAATGTTATAAATAAGATAACAAACAATAATATTTAATAACAAATTATTTTAAGTAGTATATCTATATCAGTAATATTGATGATGTATTACAGTAATCCAGCTGGCTACTGTACGACCTTGTAATTACATAACCTTTATACTTTGATATTTTTTTAAAATTTAACCATCACAACTAAAAGCTATACATTCAAAACATAATTGAATTGTAGGATACTTCATTTGATTACATTAAGTAATCATTTTATTTTTGAAAGTGTATATAAATCATTTAATGTATTCAAGCATTATTAGAAGATATATCATAGTTTTTGTATCATCTTGTAACGATGAATCTATTCAATCATAGAATCTAGTTTAGACACCGATTCTCTCCAACCAACCATACAATATGTTATTGTTATAACTTGTGGCCTGTACGCCCTGTGAATGGATAACGTAACGATACCGCCAATTAGACAGCAGTGTATTATCGATTGGACCAATGACGCATAAAACCCGTACGAGCAGTCTACAGTCTTTATTGGTCCTACATTCTACCTAGTCCAGCCAATTAAGTCTAGAACACCAACCACAGCCTCTGTGATATGAATCATTTATTTCAAACATAATGGGTTTATATACCAACCAAATAGACCACACCGTCCCATAAAATAGGAAACAACATTTGTACAAGCTTTAGCCAAATGTGGCTGTGAGTGAGGGAGGTAGTAATTAATAGACAGGGCATAACTTGAAAATGGTAATTCGTATAATAATAGTTCACGGGTCAAAATAAAGCTCATAACAAGCGGGACATAAATACGAATAGTTTATTTAATTAACAATTACGCAATAAATATATACGCATAATGTAACGGACACGAACACTAGTGGGCACACTATAATGTGTTCAACATACTATTACAGAGCATCTCAATAAAATCTAACAACCATATAGTAAATGCTCAATTTCCAAATTGACCATCAATTGTCTCAAAATGACTTAGGCTTCATTGTTCTTCCATTTTCATACAAATTGCATTCTGTTTTCATTCTTTAATATTCTATCTTCTTGTCTCTCTGCTGCCAAACATTCTATTCCTGACTAACTTCACATACTACTTATGTCAATATAAGTAGTACACACCACAATAGTATTGGTCCATAAATGGATCCCAAAAGTTACCATTCATTATTCTTATCAGGACATAATAGTTATTTCTTGGTGTATACAAGTTAAACTAAGAAAAAAACTTCAATTCTTTTATAGTAACATTATGAAAATTTACAGTGTAGAAGTAAACCTTCATATAAAATGTCTTTAACTATTTATGTTTAAAACAACTTGAAGGAAGTGATTCAGTATATAATCGAAATTTCTTTCTTTTCGACAATGATCAGCATTTCAATGATAATAACTTCATAACTACGTTGACTGTATTATTCGTTGATAATATTATTATACTTGAAGACTGTATTGAATATTGAACAGATGGTAATCATAATATGGTGTGTGCTACTGATGTCGACAAATATATGTATCATCAATAGGATATGAAATACCTAGCAGTAGATAATTAAGAAAATTAAAGAAGCGAGAATAAGAACACAGAATGATTGTTATGGAAACGAAAGAACAATCAAGTCTAAGACAATTGAATGACATTTTGTAAATGAAGTATTTACTGTAGTGTTCTCAAATTTTACTAAATGATCCTATAATTGTATGTTCACATATATTTGATTGTCTTCATTGATGTTCTCATTCATTACAATAATTCTTTAAAGGACTTTTAGTTTGTTTACTGATGATTGATGAAAGGAACAAATTTCAATTGAGAACATCATTTAAATAAGAGTAGACAAGAGGGATATTCATAAGGAGTACTTAACAAACTGTTTCAGATTACGCAATATAAACAGCATAATATAGTGTACATTCTTTGGTACATAAATGATAAATATATATGAATACGTATGATGTCATATATGTTGTCACATTCAGACATCACACAATCTTTTTTTTTCTTCATACATTCACACGTTTTACCACGTCTACACGTTTTTACACATCTTTAACATAGCATTTGATCCATTTCCATTGTATTATTTTCAATAGTTTTTACCAAATATTTCGTTACCGTTTGGTACATTGAGTTTGACATTATCAGAATCATGTACCCATAGATTTTGAACTTTCAGTAATCCATAAAGTAGTCAAGTAAGGTGTTTCATAATATTTAAGTATGTAATAGAATCAGAAATCTGTGATTATTCCGGAGGTTTTATTGTGTTATAGTTAGATAACAACCAATCTACAAAACGCCAGTTTTAGGAATTCAGTCTAATCCTCCAGTATATGATTCATTTTATCGATTTAATCATTCATTGTTAGAATTACAATATCTGATCTCTGATCTACTTTGATGGCTTTTGAATTATCATCCGACTTGAACTTCCAGATGTGTTCCTGATTATTTTAATCAGTATGCTGTATATGTGGTCCTTGTTACTATGATGTGGGCTACCAAAATCAATCACTATAGTCATGTGTCTTCCATGTTTTTACTTCATGGGTTTCAACATACATGAACTACTTTATTTAGCAAGAATTGTCACTAAGTCTATAAACACTCATTCCTTATCACTTAACTGACAATGGATATAATATTAAGATGTTGGTTCTCAGATGTTTATTAAGTCTACAAGAATTTATCAAAAGGTATAGGATTATCCATTCTCTATATTACCGAAAACAATTAGTATCAACTTAATCAAAAAAGACTTAGATATACAAGATAAGAAATTTTCTCTTATCCCTTTCTTGTATAGATTTTTATATTTTACCAATGATGGATCTTGTCATTATTTTATGATCTAATGTATATGGAATACATTACTTTCAACCTATAAAACTGATTCATACAATCATACTGACACGAAATAGACGTCCAGTTCTTCCAGATTTTCAATGGTTGTATTTAACTCTGGTCAACTCGTGATTTTAATGAAATTACATGTATAGTCAGCTTCGAATGTAAATATTTTGGGATCAAATGAATATTAGTTAACTTGGAACATTTATTATAACCTACTATTTTTTTTTCAGTACAACAATTAAAAACATTACTATTAGTCAGTTCTTGGAGTTCTAATGAGAAGCACTGACCAATAGAGTTTAACCTAATCTGTTGTGAGATAATAGAACACTGAAGATAATGGTAGATGTGTCATTCAATTTCGTGAATTAGTTGAAGTTAAACATTAACACCATTGAATGTCGGTCAGCTCAATAATCTAGAGGTTATGCGTTCGTGCTCAAGACCAATAAGCTCTGGGCTTGAATCCCATGAGCGGGATCGTGGATGAACACTGGTAAGGTGGAGTCCCACATCAAGACGAAACGTTTACCCAGTGTTTCCATGTTTTTTATGATGATCTAACTTCAACTAACTCACGAATTCATCTATTAAGATACTATAATATCGACCAAAACCCCTTTTTGATTATATTTCTATGTACATCATTATTAATATCCATCAATAATCTTATTTCAACTCTCTACATAAATGTTTGAATATTTTTTTCAGACATTAGTACGTATGAACATGCCGTTGAATAGTGATGGAACTGTAATGTTCAATGCAACACTTTTTGCTTTAGTTCGAACTAATTTAAAAATAAAAACTGAAGGTGAGCTATTATGAACTAGTTGTATTGAATAGATTAACATTTAGAGAATATGTTTCATTTATCATGGTTCCTAAATTATTTTTCCCACATTTTATTTAGGACTTATATTTATGCATAACTTTACATATATGTCAAATGAATTAAAAAAAAAAACAAAAACAAAGAGAAAACTACGTTATGGTTGAGGGTGAGGAGAGTTAGCTCTCTCTCTCTCTCTCTCGAAATGCTCTCAAATGGACACGCATGTACAACTACTTTCAAGGAAGTCCTACTCACTGCCTTCTCACGGCAGAAGTGTTGTTTATAAAATTGAAAGTAAGAAAACTGAATGTTAAGCGCTCATACTGAGCGAGTGGATATGTAGTATTCACTTGGAGGAGTTGGAAAACCCTGATTCCAAATCAATGGAGCACGTGGGTTCAGGGATTTTCTGAGAGATGAAATGTCGCATGAACCGGTTTTTGTCATTGTTTACCATGGAACAGTATCTCCTAATGTTGCCCCACTACCTTGTAGATTAGATCTTTATATCAGAAGTTCGGAGAGTGCCCTCTTAAGAATACATTCCAATGTAGTGCTGACGAATGTTTTTTTAAGGAAAATTTATATACTTATTTAGAAATTTTTTGTTTACAAACTACTATTCTACTGATTAACATCCATAACAATAATAATAATAATAATAATAATAGAAAACTGCCAGAAGTTGAGTATAATTTCTATTATCAACATTTACACGAGGTACTGTAAGCTGCTAACTTTAAGTGTTGGCCACACCCGTGGGTTAAGTGCAGTTGAGGTGTCATTAACATATATTTTTAGATTTAACTTAATTACTTACGCCTTTTACTCCCAATGGAGCATAGGCCTCCGACCAGCATTCTCCTACCCACTCTGTCCTGGACCTTCCTTTCCAATTCTGTCAAATTTTTGTTGATTTTTCTCATGTCTGTCTCCATATCTCAGGATAATGTGTTCTTTAGTCTTCCTCTTTTCCTTTGGCCTTGAGGATTCCACGTTAGGGCTTGCCTTGTGATGCATTTCTTAAATATATCAAGTCAAATTACTTTAATTCTTTAATACATATATGCATTCGTTATGGAATAACTAAACTAAGACATAGTGCCATTTCATATATTGCACGATTTCCATAACCAACGGTTAAACACGTTGTGTAATATGGTTCAGAATCAGTTGTGATAGCGCAAATGCATCCACCAGTTAGTATCCGTTAGATTGTGAGCGTTAAAATGGTTCTATACCTTTTACTGTACAAATTCATTTTTCTTCCGCAAATTATATTGTCTATGCTTAGAGTTAGCGTTTTTTTCAGAGAGACAGACAAGGCTGTCTACTCTCTCCCTTCCTCTTTCTTCTGGTGGTTGACTGGACTATGAAGACCTCGACATCTGAGGGTAAACACGGCATACAATGGACAGTTCAGAACCAATTAGACAATTTGGACTTCACAGATGACCTAGCCTTCCTATCGCATACACACGAACAAATGCAGATAAAGACAGCTAGTGTAGCAGCAGTCTCTGCATCAGTAGGCCTCAACATACACAAGGGGAAAACCAAGGTCCTCAAATGCAACACGGAGAACACCAACTCAATGATACTTGATGGCGAAACCCTGGAAGATGTAGAATCGTTCACATACCTGTGAAGGATCATCGATGAACGTGGAGGATCGGATGTAGACGTAAAGGCGAAGATTGGCAAAGTAAGGGCTGCATTCCTACAATTGAAGAACATATGGAACTCAAACCAACTGTTAAACAAAATCAAAGTCAGAATCTTCAATACGAACGTCAAGGCAGTTCTAATGTATAGAGCTGAAACTTAAAGGACTACTACAACCATCATCAAGAATGTACAAGTATTTATAAATATCATGCAATTAGTTCCCTTTATGATATATTTATAGATAATTGTCTACTCAAGATACTCAACATCCATTGGCCGGATACCATCAGTAACAGTCTACTGTGGCAGAGGACAAACCAGCTTTCGTTTGAAGAGGAAATTAAGAAAAGACGATGGAAATGTATAGGATATACATTACGCAAATCATCAAACTGCATCAGGAGACAAGCGCCAAATTGGAATCCTGAAAGGAAGCGGAAAAGAGGAAAGTCAAAGAACACATTACGTCAGGAAATAGAATCAGATATGAAAAGGATGAATAACAACTGGAAAGAACTGGAAAGGATTGCCCAGGACAGGTTTGAATGGAGAATGCTGGTGAGAGGCCTATGCTACTTCACGAGGAGTAACATGAGTAAGTACGTATGCTGAGGGCTTTTTATTGTTGTTGATACTGCGTCTACTTTAATCATTCTGACATGTAGCTAGATAATTTCAACTTTCGATGCTTATATGATGTGACTACGTGAACCGACACACAAATGGTAAGTTCTAAGTTGTTTATGAAAAACGAAATGACTAACATATTCAACTGGTTGATTAATGATCAGATCTCTTGAAATTTGTTTCATTTGAGATTTAAAGGATTGATTTTGTAATATATCTATCGTTTAATTCATCTAAGTTATTTCATAATTATATATTTGATGTGTGGGCGAGAATGATCATGATTCATGTTGTGATCAGGCTAATTATGTGTTCTTGATCTGAGTTGTGTTGAAGTCCTGTAGAATAGACAATGGGAGGGATCTAGTGTAGATAATCTTTTAAGCGTTATAACATTAGATGAAGTGATACCGAGCGTTATAACAATATTATAGTCAACTAAATTGTTCATACTGTTCATATTTCATTGTTACTGAATAACATCCATAATAATAATAATAATAATAATAATAATAATAATAATAAATATTATTATTATTATTGTTTGTTATAGGTGCAGCAATTGATCAATTAAATGAAGAACTACGTGCTGTAATTAAAAAAATATGGAAAAGAACAAGTAATAAATTATTAGATCAACTTGTACCTCCAGCAGGTGGTAAGTTTTAAATATGATTAAAATTATATCGATTATGAATTAATTATTAACTAGAATAAAACATTTTATTGATTTTAAACAGAAAGAATATCTGTTAACCGTCGTGGAGAAGTATAGACAACCAATCGACATTTATCTTGAATAATTCTTTCTAATTGTTATTTGTCCATTTATTATCTGATTTCAGTTCTCTATGCAATGTATTCTTTCATGTCCTTTTCTTTTTTTTTTAATTTTTCTATTTCCCTACAGAATTTCAATTTAAAGCATAAAATATATAAGTATAAAAGTAATTAATTATTAATAAAAAATATTTTATGAATTATATTATGATTACTGAATTATAAACTAAAATAATTATTTCAATGATTAAGATCATGAGTCAGTTGAAGTTAGACCACCATGGAAAACCTGGAAACACTGGATGGCCGTTTCGTCCTATTGTGGGACTCCTCAGCAGTGGGCATCCACGACCTCGCCTCCTGCGAGATTAATAAGCCAGGACCTACTGGTTTCGCGCGCGAGCACTTAACCATTAGACCACTGAGCTGGCATCCAACGGTGTTAATGTCTAATTTCAACTAATCCACGAAACGGCCGTCCAGTGCTTCCAGGTTTTCCATAGTGGTCTAGCTTCAACTGACTCATGATCTTAATCATTGAAATTACTACAATCTCCAGAAAAACCCCTTCTGATAAAATAATTATGTTTTATGAAATTACTGAAATTGATATTGTTTTTTAAAACTAACAATAATAAATGATTAAGATGATGAATTGATTGATGTTAGGGTTTCAATGATGATCTAACATCAATTAGTTCATGATCTCAATCGAAAACTTAATAATCTTCACAACCCCCAAAAAAACTAATAATTAACATGTACTCACTAGTGATTCACTTCGTGAAGGAATGCTGAGAGTGTTAGTGAGAAGACGTGATTAGTGGACTTAATCTGTGTCGGGTAGAGACAGGTATCTATCTCAGTACAGTGGAAGATGGTTGAGCAATTCCATGAATTGGTTGAGGTTAGACATGAAAATCGTTGAATGCTGGCCGGCTCAGTGGTCCAGTAGGTTATACGTTCGCACGCAAGACTGAAGGCCCTGAGTTTGAATCCCGTGAGCGGGATGGTCGATGCACACTGCTGAGGAGTCTCACAATAGACTGAAATGGCCATCCAGTGCTTCCAGGTTTTTAATAGTGGTTAAACATTAATCAATTCATGATCTTAATCAAAAAGTTAACAATCTCCACAATCTCTGATAATAATAAATGAATAACATTCACCTTCTAATGTGTTAAACCAGATTTATATCTAATTAGAACTTAACTTAATATGGAGCATTGGAAATCCTTTCGTCATTGTATTTGATAATTGGATATAATTAAAACTATGTTCTAATTGTGAATGATATATATTTCCAAATTAAGAGTTGTTTTGATTAACGCAAATTATCATAAATTAGATCACTAATGTAATACTTCAAGTACTAAATGATTGTTTTATATGATTATGAGATTCCTTAGTAATGCAAATTCATGATTCTGTATGCTGAATCGATTCATAATTGTAATAAAATTTAATAATCATAACTTTATAATGACATTATCAATAATAAGAAATCGTTGAAGTTTCAATGAGTAGATGTGACTAATTGAGCTAATCCCTATCGAATGTAGTACAAACATGGAAACATAATGTCATGAACTGATTGAATGAAGATATCAACATTATTAAATACCAATATAGTAGTGTAGTGGTTAAGTGTTGAGTTCGATTGTTCTTGGTAGGGGATCATGGATGAACACTATTGATGAGTTCATTCCTAGAACAAAATGGTTACCCAATAATTCCAAGTTGTAATAGTGATTAATTCATTACTTTAATGATATTATTAACTTAATTTCTTTTATCATTACTAATAAACCAATACATAGAAAGAAGTGAATTTTTTTGTTTGTTTGTTTGTTAAAGCAAACAAAATAATGACTTCAATCAATTAAATGAACACATTCTTTTTAATCATTTAACAACTACCCAACTCCCCTTCAATTTATAATTGTCTATTAATCATTTTGGATTAAATTACATGTACAAAACATTAATATGTATATACATAACATAGATAAATGTTATAATATCGATCAAATTGATAATCATTTATACTATTAATGATTATCATTTTACAGTTTTATGATAAATAACTATGGTAACTTACTAATAAGTGTGGAATGTTTGTTTGTATGTTTGTTTTCTTTTGTTGATTAACTTATTCATTATCAGCTGATCCTTGACTTATTGATTAAATTCCTTTTTCTTTCAAAAGAAAAGAAATTTTAATCATTCTATTGAATTCATCAATCAGGATCAAAAGAGAAATAAAAGAAAGAAAGAAAGAAAGAAAGAAAAAATAATAAGTGTCAACATTCACTAATACTTCACTTAAAATTTAAGCATATAAAAGAATATAATGTATTCTAGTAATCTTTTTAAGCAAAGATGGATAATAACTAGCAATGGAATCCAGAAAGCGTGACACATCGTTCTATTTAAGATTTGTCAATTGAATGCATCTACATCTCGAAATGAATATTTATTTTAGGACTAGAACTCAGCACTGTTCACTTCAAACGCTATCGAGTGATCTACTTAACTACTGAGTCCTGATAATCACTTGCTTATGCAATGAGATGAAGTTTAAATTCACTTGGTGTTACTTTATTTGTATTTTCACATTGTTATTTAGGACTCGACAGGTAATTGGATAACATGATGATGTTTGACGTGAAAGGTATTGGGTTCGAGTCTCAGAGTGAATATCAACTCTAAGATTCAGGCACATCCACCTGACGATTCCAAAATAGGATGAAACGCGCATCAAATTGGATTCCACTGTGATAGCTATTATCCATCATTGTTTAAAAAGCTTGTGACTTAAAGCTATATCGATGCAATCCGCATGAGATACACATATGCCAATAGGAGGGACTAATCAATTACAGTCTTAAATAACAATGAAAAGATGCAAGTAAACAATAACACCAAATGAATTTGTTCTAGTAATTGCTAAAATTACAAAGATCTAGTTATTATTTTAATGTACAATCACTTGTTATATATCATGCATAATTATGATATTGAGTAATCAAAGAATAGTTGAAATCATGAATCAATTGAAGCTAGACCACCTGGAAGCACTGGATGGCCGTTTCGTCCTAGTATGGTATGCCTCAGCAGTGCTCATCCACGATCCCGCCCAGCGGGATTCAAACCCAGGACCTATCAGTCTCGCACCAGGTGGTTAACCAACTAGACCACTGAGCCGGCATCCGACAGTGTTAATATCTAACTTCAACTAATCCACGAAGTTGCGCCACCGTCATGATTTTAACTATTGAAATTACCAATTCTCCACAAAATCCCTTCTAGTAATAATCAAAGAATGTTGATTATGATAAGATTTGATTCCATTAAGTTCGATTTTATTTTACGTTTATTCGTTAAATATAAAATAATCAGAATGAGGGTTTATGAAGATTTTAGTAAATTTTGTATCCAGCTTGCAGGATCGTGAATGTACACTGCTCAGGAGTCCTATACTAGGATGAAATGGCCGTTCAGTGTTTTTAGGTTTTCTTTCAATTTCAGTGTATCATAATTTTTCATTTAACAATAATAATGTAGTGAAGAAGAACACCAATGAGGACAATCGAAATGTATTTGAGCACATAAATACAGAGCATCTCACTAAAATCTGAGAACCATATAGTAAATCGTTAATTAGTAAAATATCAATCCATCATCTTAAACTTGACTGTTCCTATTGCAAACATCAATCCATAGTCTCAGATTTCATTGTTCATACGTTTTCATACAAATTGCATTGCGTTCCCGTTCTTTCCTTCTCGATCTTCTTCTACTGAAATATATTCTATGCCTGACCGCCGTCATATACTACTTGTATGGATATAAGTATCCCACATCACAATAATAATAATAATAATAATAAACACAAAACGATAAACAATAATTTTATATTTTAATGGTTAAATTCATGAATCGATTTATGCTAGACTATTATTGATAGCTTGGAAACACTGAACAGTCGTTTCATCCTAATATAGAACTCCTGAACAGTGCACATTCACCACCCAGTAAATGGGACACGAAATTTACCAAAATCTCTTATAAATCCTCATTCTGATTGTTACATATATTTTTAACATTATTAAATATTATTCATGAATTATTATAAACAATACAAGGTTGTGGAGATTGTGAGATTGTATAATCATTAACTAATCAATATTAGACTATTATTGAAAATCTGAAATCACTGAAGGATTGTAATACTGAAAAGTACCATACTAAGTCTAGAGGATTGTCTAATGCTTTTAGAATTTCAATATTGGTCTAACATTGATCGATTCATGAACTCAATTAGAGTTTTGATTAATCTAATACAAATTCTAAATAGACTAATATTGTTAAACTGTCTACAAATTTATAGTATATCAAAGTACATAACAATACAGAATACAGAATTCCTGATGTATTCCTATTATGAATATTCTAATTATTCTTTCTAAATAATTGGTTATGATTGTAAATGTATTCATAATAATAAGTAAAAAAAAATGGATAGACAATAACTAAACTATTCTCTTCATGTATATAATACTTATTTGATTAGTTACATGATTAGTTTCCATGGTTTCTTAACTTATTATCTTGTTGAAAATTTCTGCTCTATTATAAACTACATTGATAATCGTTAACTTAATCACAAACTAATCACTTAGTATTCTTGTTATAGAAATAAGAATATAGATGTAAATAACTAAATGTATTTCTACAAAATATGAAAGTTATAGATTGGATGCTTCTATTATCATTTGTTCTTTACATTCTTTATGATGATTCTTTCAAGTCATAATTCCTTTCTATTTCTGTTTCTGTTCTTTTTCATTTGAGCTTCATAGTTTTTTTTTACCA